AGTCTGGAGTCTGGGTCAAGAGAGGACTACCCCTGGGGTGGTTTCTTCTGGGCTTTGCTAGGCACCTGTAACCGGATCACTCTTCTTTACACACATGGGGTACGTTTACTCTTGTGTGGTTTTCATCCATGCCCTGGGACAAGGCTGAGGTTTCCTTCAGGGACTTTCTGGTGGGCCTACACTCTTAGAGATCCTCACACACCATGTACACTTGCACAACAACTGTTCCCCAGTTACTCTTAGGTCCCTATGTAAATGTAAATCTTCGCACTGTATCTTGCAATTAGGCAAGCCGTGCCAAACACTGACCACAGCCACTTGTCCAGCGTTTTCCCACTACCAGTTCCCATAGCAGCATGGAAGCCCGACAAGCGCAGCCCCCAACATGTACTTGACTTTAACTCCTGAACTTCTGTACCTATATACAGGATGGGGACCTCTGCAGTGCAGTTCTGCTCCAGTTGCTATGGGAGATATAATGCGGCATAGGCAGTGCAATTCCACCTATAACAGGTACACATTTCTGACAGGCTGCTTTGCTGACTATACTTTCGTTGCTCATCGCAACCACATGTATAACTTGCACTAGGATAACTTGTAATGTTCTGACTCTTCATACCCCAGGATGTTATTGACCCAGAACTGTAGCTATGTGCCAGTTACTTGCAATGCACCCCTTTCAGAGGACTTCAGACCAGGTAGATGGCAAAGTATCAACACTTTACTGTAAAAATTGCATAACAGTCCATACAGAGTCCAAAAATCACACAGAACAGTCACTTTCCTAGTCCCTTATCCATAAACCTAACTCAGGCTTAGGTGCTGCCCCAGCATACCTGCAAATGTAGAGTCCATGTGCATTCAGGTCCAGCAGTGCCATTCCCCAGTGGCTGGATGCTTGGGATGAAGCCCACTCTCACATCTTTCTTAGATGGCCATACCTCCATGTTACATGGCTGATGGACCAGCCACAAGACACTTGAACTCTTCCAGGGGAACTTTGAGGAACCTCCTTCTGTATCTAGGGCCTCTCTGGCTCTGGACCACTGTCCCTTTCTATTTCCACAGGATCAGTGGATTGAACCCAAAGATCCTGCCAAATTAAAAACTCTGGAACTATGTTAACCCCAGCCCTCCCTTCTAGGGCAGCACCTAACTAACTAGTTCTAACATATGTAGAACTTACATATGTATGCAGAAAGTGTAGTTACAGGAATCCAGCTTTAAATGAAAGCTTTATGTTTTCATTACATTCCTTATTTTAGACCCAGTAATGTCATCCTGGTCAATGCTAGGATTGTAAAAAACCCAGGGCATCCTGGGGAACAATGTGACCAGATCATGCTTGACATTGGGAGTGGCTTAAAGGGGAAAGGTTAAATAAAGTATGATCCTACTCCTGATGCACGTTGTGCAAATATGACACAGCCCTTGTACTAAAAAAAAATGCTTTAGTTATTGTTCCACGCATGAAAGTCTCACAAACTAACATAAACTTCAGGACAGAGGATCATTTTTAGAAAATGAAGTTATTATATTACATATAAAACAAAAACAGAGAGATAACACTTAGCATCCCTGTACTTGATAGAAGAATTTAATTTAAAAAAGTGAGCACTACTTAGCAACCAGCAATCGTTGAGAAAATAAACACATTGATAAGTAATGTATAGCCAGTATACTAAATTGAACATTGCCCAAAACATTAAATCATTTTGTTGGAATAAACATTATTTTACCACAGCCGCAATTCAAATGAAAACGTTCATATTACAACTGTCTTTTTTTAGAGTCAGGTTTAGGGCTTCATGTCAATGGGAATTCCAGTCAAACATTGGGTTTTGCATAAAAACACATTCAGCTATGTTTGACTGGAAAATGCAGCATTTGACAACAAGAGGCTGTGTTTGATCTGCAGTTCAAACACAGTTTAATGGGTCATGCTATGTCCAAGAAAAGCAGCATAGTGCATAGCAGGTCTAATGCAGCCTCTGAAATGCCATGCGTGCTGTCAGATTGTGCTGACTGCTGTTTTATGTGTGTTCCAAATTCACATCAAATGCAGGAAAATAACACCAATTACCATGAACCCTTCATGTGTAAGTTCAGGGAATTTGCTTAAACAATATAAATATATCAATACAAATACAGTATTGGTAATTCAGTTAAGTCATTCTTGTGATTAACACACTTCTATGACCAGTGTGATGGCACCACAGTTTCCTATTTCATCTTTGCATCTTCATGTATCACCTGTTTCCTCCATGGATAATGAATCAGCAGTGTGATGTTGTTCTCTCATAGCCAAGTGTTACAGAACTGTAATTCTGATATTTAAAATAGTGATGTTTCCTCCATGGCTATGCAGTGTGGCAGATGAAGCTAGCTGAATAGCCTGGTAGGTAAAGTGAGGAACAGAAGTATTTGAACACCCTGCAAGGGAGACTGACAGTCGTCTTTAGCCTCTTCCATTTTCTAACAATTGCTCCAACAGTTAATCTATTTTCACCAAGCTGCTTGGCAATTGCCCCGTAGCCCTTTCCAGCCTTGTGGAGGTCCACAATTTTGTCTCTGGTGTCTTTTGACAGCCCTTTGGTCTTGCCCATGGTAGTAGTTGGTGTGACTGTGAGGCGTACAGGTGTCTTTAAAGAGCTCAGACAGGGCTACTAAGTTAGATTAATGAGTGGAGTAGAGGTGGACTTTTTAAAGGCGCAGTAACAGGTCTTTGAGAGCCAGAATTCTTGCTGTTTTCTTAGGTGTTCAAATACTTATGTTCAGCAGTACAAGACAAATAAATTCTTTAAAAATCATACAATGTGATTTCCTGAAATTTTTTTTTTTATTCTGTCTCTCAGAGTGGGAATGCTCCTACAATGTGAATTTCAGACCCCTCCATGATTTCTAAGTGGGAGAACTTGCAAAATCGCAGGGTGTTCAAATACTTCTGTTCCTCACTGTAAAATAGGTAAAACAATGTACACATTGCATGTACTTCAGCTGTATTTTAATAGGGCAAGGTTAAACACCTGTATCCCATTTAGGAGATTTCCCTTTACTTCTTATCCTATTGAGACACAAAAGTAAAAGAAAGAAAATCTCTCCAAAGTAAGCTGGCCATAGAAAGTCGAAAAACAAACAACATTTGTGTCAATTGGTGAAAATCGAAACAATTGATGGCACAATCGTATGAGCCATTTTCATTTTTCGATAGACTGAACTTTTGTTTTTCCACTCGTCTATGGCCTGCCTTAGGGAAATCCTCTCTAAACCTGGCCATACATTGATCAGTTTACTTTGATTAGCCAACAGGTTGAGAGAGAAAAAAATAGTGTATTCCCCCATCCACACATACAAGGTGGATGCAAGACTCTTCCCCTGCTGAGTTATTGTATTCTGACAATGAGAATCCTCCACTGTCACAATACACTGATTAGCACTGAAGCTGATTGGCTGCATGTGCTGATTGATGAAAATGTATCATCAGTTCAGTTCTGGACAAGTCATTCTAATGATTGACTCCTCTTGAATGGGAATGGCCCTAAATGGATCAAAATGTGGACAGTGCCTGCTGAACTGGAAGATTTGTGAAGCATTTATGGACAATTTTAGACAAGTGTCTCCATCAGAAACATTTACAGTATGTTCTATACAAACTCAAAATGTTGGATTTCCTTCACTCTTAGCCTCGGTGATAGTGGTTACTGTGAGACACAGCAATGAAAACTTGGGTAGCGTTGTAACCCTTCCCTTTTCCATCCAAAACATATTACAAAAACGTTTTAGCTCTATATACATTTTAAATATTTCATACAAGTGGCCAATTTGTAAAAGAAGAGGGGTGTTCTATGTAACTCATGGCAACCAGGCAGAAGTCAGTTTTTAGCAATTTCTTATGGGAAGACAAGCCCATCAAAGCTGGAATTGTTTGGATGCCATAGGGTTGGTGGCAGTAGCTCACCATTCTCTTTAGCCTGTCTCATAAGGAAGGAATGTGGACATCTTTTCTTCTCATCTAAAAATCTGATTGGCTCCTTAGGTAAGATTTTCACATTTTACTATTAGTTTCAGGGCATATGTGGCAGTCTGACAGCACCTAATTAGGAATAATACTGGGTTGATACAATACTAGAAAACAATTAATACGTTTACAACAGTATATCTTATTTTATTTTGCTTTGTATGAGAGTCCCACAAACTACATTTTATTACATTGTATAGAGGAGCTCACTATTCTCTGTGTAATTCAGTTTCTAGTGAATACAACATTATGCTGTAGACGTTATCTCTTTTCTCCCATCACTGTGTTGTATAACATTGGAAGCAGGCACACAGCCTTAGAGCATATGCCAAGCCCATTTACCTGCGCCATTGGGATTATCATAGTGCTCTGTGCTTAGGAGTGGACACATTCACAGTACTGTACAGCCAGCTGGCTGCCAAAAGGGAGAAATGCTGCCCTACCCTGTGTAGGATCAGAATCCAATGTTTCTGATCGAAGGTCTATGTTTTTGTTATATTTTTTTTCTGTGTTGAGCAAGTGAAGGCAATTGGGTCTTGGTTAGTCTTAGGTTCACATATATTTAAAAGGAAATCTGTCATAAGGGAAATAGATAGGTTGCCATTTCTGACCACCTTTTGAAAAAACTAGTAACCTGGTTCTCTTGCAGATCTTCTGGCTGTATCAAAAAGTATGCATATAAGGTTTCTGACTTCACTTGTTGCTTATTTTTATGGGGAGCAGTGACTCCAAAGGTACTAAAATCAGAGAGAGATAAGAACTAGCATTATCAAGAAGAATTCAGCTTTTTTTACTTTAAAGAATGCCTATATACTCTTGTATATTATTTTTGGACTTGACATAAGGTGGCCTCTGGTTGTTAAATTATTGGTATTTTCACTTGCTTCTGATTACTAATATTTTTTTTTAATAACGCAAACATGTCCAGCAGTTACATATTCACCATATCTTTGTACATTTCATTTCTCTCTGCAGCCGAACAATGCAGAAAGACTCGTATCCCATAAAGGACTATACTTCATGTTTCAGACAACCACTGCCTTCCTTTATAAAATGTAGTAGACTGTCTCCTTTAATTGAGGAATACAAGCCCCACTTTTCACATTACCAGTATGACCACCAAGTGGACAGCCTGCATCGTTTTCATGAAGCTTTTGCAAGTGGATCACACAGAAGAAAGAGTGCTCCTTCCAAAATGCCAAATGAGATGGACACCAAAGATCCTAAGGGCCCAGTGGAGTCAAGCAATGAAGACAAGCATTTTTTTTCATCACCTTTTCATTTACTTTATCACATACCTCCTCTGTCACCTTATAATGCCAAAATGATTGAGTTGTCAAATATTGGTCTGCAGTACTGCAGAACAATGGATCCCTTTTGGCTTAACCATTTAAAACAAGAATCTCTTAGGACTAATATAATGTGGCCACCTGGAAACCTTTATTTACATCCATCATATCCCTATTTTCACAAAGACTTCCCTGAGACAATGTTTCCTTTTCAAGTACCCACCCAAAGCTTTCACAGGTGTCACAGCTTTGACACTGGTCTTCCAGAGAAAAGTGTCATAAGTAAAACCCATATTGATGAAAGTGAGGACCCCAAGCAGAATGTTGAGCGAGTTGATATCAACATTCAGATTGATGAGAGTTTCTATGTGGAGGTTGGAGATCAGAAACGTTGGAAATGTCCCATGTGTGAAAAGTCATATACATCCAAATATAACCTGGTGACCCACATTTTGGGACACAGTGGCATTAAGCCCCATGCTTGTGGCCATTGTGGCAAGCTGTTCAAACAACTGAGCCATCTGCATACTCACATGCTTACTCACCAGGGCACCAGGCCCCACAAGTGCCATGTTTGTAATAAAGCTTTTACCCAAACCAGTCATCTAAAGCGACATATGATGCAGCACAGTGATGTGAAGCCATACAACTGTAGGATATGTGGCAGGGGGTTTGCCTACCCAAGCGAGCTTAAAGTTCATGAAGCAAAACACGAGAGTGGAAGAGAGAACATTTGTGTGGAGTGTGGACTAGACTTCCCCACACTTGTACAGCTTAAAAGACATATGACAGTACACCGGGGCCCTGTGCAGTATAACTGTACTGAGTGTGATAAGACATTCCAGTACCCAAGCCAACTTCAGAATCATATGATGAAGCACAAGGACATTCGGCCCTATATCTGTTCCGAGTGTGGCATGGAATTTGTACAGCCGCATCATCTCAAACAACATTCCCTAACTCATAAGGTCAGTTACATGCATGACTATTTGTAACACTGACAAAAATCTTCCTCTCCACCTTGTCACTCTAAGGCAGGCCATAGACGGGCCGTTTATCGGCCGATAAACGAAAAATCTGTCGGCCCCGTTGCTGATGCTGCCACCAATGTCCACGAAAAACAGCCGTTTTTGATGGATTTTCCAGCATGACCGATAAAAATAAATGTGAAGATCCGTGAAAAACGGCCGACGGGCTGACCCCACTAATGGCGTGAATATTGGCTGATTTTTCGTGCGGACGAAAATTCGGCCGATAAACGACCCGTCTATGGCCTGCATAAATGCACATTTAGCAAAACTTACACAGTTTCACTTGTATTTGGCTCATTATCTGAAGCTTTACAGATCTGATACCACAGATGTGGGTTTTACAGATAGCAAAATCCATTAACGTAAACAATGAAGTGGAACTCCAGCCAAACCAGTTTTCATCCCCCTTTTCAATATAGTGGCAGAGGTTAACAACTCTAAGTTTAAAACTGTAAGTTTTTTTTTTTTTCTGTTCAAACAAAAGCAACATTTTTCCCAACACACTTACCTGCTTTTGTTTGCACTGTGCAAAACCCTTCCAAATGCACCTTACCTTAACCACTTGACCTCCACAATGTTTTACCCCCTTCATGATCAGGGCATTTGTTTGCTATTCAGCACTGTGCTATTTTAACTGGCAATTGCTTGGTCATGCAACACTGTATCCAAATGAAATTTATTTCATTTTTTTTCACAAAAATAGTTTTCTTTTTTTGGTATTTAATGACCGCTGGATTTCATTTTTTTTTTTTTATAACAATGAAAAAATACAGAACATTTAGAAATAAAAAAGATATTTTTTTCTTAGTTTTTGAAAAAATTTTGCAAACAAATAATCTTTCTTCATAAACTTGAGCCAAAATGTTTTCTGCTACATTTCTTTGGTAAAAATAACCCAAATCAGTGTATATTATTTAATTTGTGTGAATGTTATAAAGTCTACAAACTATGTATATATATATCTGAAAATTGATCAATACTGATGTACTGGCTGCCTATCTAATTTCTTGAGACCCTAAAATACTAAGACAGTACATACACCACCAGCTGCTGTGAATTGCCTTGTACCATGTGATAGCTGTGTGTCAATCACAGCACAACAATAGTATGCAAGCTGTTCATGGATGAAATCCATTCATGACAGTTTGTTTACATTGTTAGCATGACCGGTCATAGCGATTGCATAATACATGATATGCTCTGAACTGCTGTGTCTGGTGGACAAAGCGGTTATGGGATTGCGCTGCCATGAGCCCCAAGGCGCACGCTAATACGCATGTCCACAATGATGTACAGTTACTTTGCTGTGCCTGTACATGGCCATTCACCTGCAGTAAAAGTACTGTGGGCAGGATCGCATGGTTGAAAGCTAGTTAGAAATTAGGACCATTGTTGTCATTTTTGTTAAGCTTTTTTCTGTTATCATATGCCTATTGAGGGACTTTCTCCACACTTCCTATTTTGGTAACCACACAGGATCTGAAGGAAATCTCCTCAGTGGGGACGCAGCCATACATTACTGAAAGCTGTTGTAGCCCTTACTGACACTATTATAATAACTGCTTCTGCTGCTGTCCTTTTTTTTTAAAAAAATAGATATTCTCACGTCCCTCATGGTGTCCACAGGAAATGTGAATGTTCCCCATGGGGACATAGATAGCAATAGATTTTAGGCTTTCCCTACTCTACCTAAAACTTTGAAAATCATTTTTGGCTAATGTTTCACTTTAAATAGTACAGCTACAAAGTAACATACTGTATGTTGATGGTTAGAAGTTTAAACATAGTTATTAAAATGCTACAAACTTCTCAGATTGTTTAATCCCTTACACAGGTGCCTCCCTTCCCTTTAAGGGGTTTCTGATTCCAGGAGGCGGGGGCAGAGTTTATGATCATGTGACCGCTGTGATTGACTGAGGCAGCGGTCACATGATTGGAAAGCTCCGAATTGCTAGTAGTAATTGGGCGCTTTCCATTAACTGTGTCAGGAGTGCACACAGCACCCACTCTTGGCATAGGTTTGTTTACATTTTGGTATGCAAATATGCAGCCTCTCAGCATCAAAGGCCGCATATTTGCTTACTCTTAAAAGTTAAAGTAGGAAAATCTGTTTGCTGGTTCAGTCCATACAAACCTGGTATTTCACAAATTTGTGGATGTTAAGGAGTCAACCACTGGCTTTGTAATCATTTAGTGGCCTCTTTCTGAAGATGCCAAAAATACTCATTCCCCTATGCCATTTTTTTTTTCCATTCAGCCATTCACACTGAATGAAAAAATTAACATATTCCTCCATCCATACAAGTGATGAAAATGAAGGAATCACCCTGCCAGGGCATTGTATTCTGACAATACAATAGTCGCTAATTGTCAAATGTTTTCTAACATTTGACAGAATCAATCTAACAGAAACACATAGATCAAAATTTAGCCTATATCTACTGAACCAGCCAAAGTTTGATCCATCTATGGCCAGCTTTACTTTTTCTGATGCATGTTTTATAAAAGTATATAGAAGCAATATAAAAGGAGAAACAATAAGAGTAAGAGTCATGTTACACCAACAACATTGTGATAGTGATCTGTAGCGGCTACAAATCTCTTGGCTTGTTTTCTCTAGTGATTTGTAATTAGCTTGCAGTCAGCAGCTTTAACTGCTACAAATGATTAGTGAGATATTATCACTAGTGGCTGCACTTGATAACCTTAGTAGCTACTAAAGCTTGTGTTTCTGTGGATAGCATCAACACTGCACAAGGTCAAACACTCAGCAACTGAGCTAAAAATTGTGATGACACAGGCTTTTAATTGAATTCACATCATTTTTTTTTTTTACAAAAGTGCTAAGGGGAGCAGCTCTATAGATGCTACCAACTACTGGAATCACCAGTATCACCAGTACCACCTGTGTGTCATGGTACTAATGGCCATGCTCGGTGACTGAAGATGGAAATTTAAGCACAGATGTCTTGCCTAAGTAATCTCCAGTGTATAAGAAGCCAATGAGTAAGTCAACCAGCCAGCATCTATCCAAACATGCAATCAAACAACATAAATGATTGTTCAACAAATAACTACCATAATAATCTAGGAAATGCCATATAAACAATATTCATATGTTATTTCTGAATGTAGGGTGTGAAAGAGCACAAGTGTGGGATCTGTGGTAGAGAATTCACCCTTCTGGCCAACATGAAGAGGCACATTCTAATCCACACCAACATCCGAGCCTACCAGTGTCACCTCTGCTTCAAAAGCTTTGTCCAGAAACAGACTCTGAAGGCACACATGATTGTCCACTCCGATATCAAACCATTCAAGTGCAAGGTGAGAGAGTGTGTTTATCCACTCTATTCTATACATGGCATCTATGGTTACCAACAATGCCAAATGGAAAATTGGAGATTTCCAACTCAAATTCTAAACATCATTACACACAATCCTATAATATTCTTCAGCTATGCAAACTGTTGCCAGGTCAAAAGGTCATCAATTGTTTTGAAGCATGAATAGCAGATCTTTTAAAAAGTTGATATCTAGGGGCCTAATATCTGCGTAGCCTATATAGACCATGGCCAAGGGTGGCATGCATATCATTTTGCTGAGTGTTAGTATTGCATTACTGTGTATATTAAAAGGTTCCTGGCGGCTACATTTCCTGCAAATGTCAGGCTGCCATGTCCATATTGCTGATGTCTCTGTACTGTGTACATTTTCATTGGTAGAATAATGTACTGTGCATTTATAGTTCACCACTTTGAGTCTATACAGTGAGAACCAAATGTCTAGCAGTGTAGAGAGACAGTTTGCCCAACTTAAGATTAAGGGGGGATATGATCAACATGTATAAATACATCAGTGGTTCATATAGTGAACTCGGTGTAGAGTTATTCACCCTGAGGTCTTCACAGAGGACAAGGGGGCACTCTTACGTCTGGAGGAAAAGAAATGTAATCTCCAAACACAGAAAGGTTTCTTCAGAGTGAGAGCTGTGAAAATGTGGAATAGACTCCCTCAAGAGTTGGTTCTGGCCAGCTCAGTGGATTGTTTCAAAAAAGGCCTGGATTATTTCTTAGATACACAGAATATAACTGGATATAACATTTATAGGTAAAGTTGATCCAGGGAATATCAGATTGCCTCTCGGGGGATCAGGAAGGAATTTTTTTCCCAGCAGGTGCAAATTGGATCATGCTTTGCTGGGTTTTTTTGCCTTCCTCTGGATCAACTGTGGGTATAGGATTATAACTTTTTTTTTTTTGGTTGAACTGGGTGGACTTTTGTCTTTTTTCAGCCGGACTAACTATGTAACTATTCTAGTCATTAAGTCTTGGTATACTGATGCAGAATGAGGAAACTGTCACTTTCATTCTCTTCAACACCAGCCTTTGTATGGCATGTGTGGCTATGAGTGCTCCTATTATTAGTGTTATACCAAGGCTACAGTAGGAAGGAGGGCAGCTAAAAAAGACTTTGAACAGTGGGCAGTTGGCCATGGGGGGAAGGGGGAGGCAAAAAGTAAAAATAAGGTTTCATATGTTCATATGTCAGACTGCTAGTGTCATCTTTGTCCATTAAATTGTTCCCGTATAAAGGCCGTATTTGTAGAAAGGCTATCCTTAATTAGGGATAACAGCATTTTAAGGGTGCTGGAGGAGGTTAGGGTGTTCTTTTCTTTTATTATTTTATGACATTTTGCTCCTATGTTAGCATGACAGATAAAACAATGAGCCATTCATATTTAATAACTAAGTTCAGAGGGCACAGGTATAATACAGTTAGAAAGAAAGCTTATGGGGCTGCAAACCTTGGGTGGACTGGGGGGGGGGGGGGGGGGGGGGCAAGTTGGCAATTGCCCCCAGGCCACTCTAATGCCACTGTGGGGGCCCCAAGAAGCCAAACTGTGGCTCCCCAGCAGTTGCAGGACTCTAAGCTGAGAGAGTCTCTCTCTCACAGCCCAGAGCCAGCACTGACAGTTCCCCTCTCCCTACACCCAGATGGGAGAGGAGAGAGAGCTGGTTCTGCTCCTCCTCTTGCCCTCTCCTCTTGTGTCTCCCCGCCTACACTCTCTGCCAGTGTTGTGCCTTAGAGAAGGAGATGCATGGTTGGGAAGTTTGAAGCCCAGTAGCCAGAAAAAGGAAAGGTGCAGCCTGCTAATCCATCCATCCAGTCAAGTTATCCCCTCCCTTCTTTCTCCTGCCTCCCAGTGAGTACTCTAACTTAAGGGTCCTTCCTTCTTTCCTCTCTCGCTCTCATCTTAATTTGCTAGTGTACATTTAGTTAAAAGGCCAACAACAGACAGATCAAAATTTGGCCGGTTCAGCAGGATCTGGCCAAATTTCAATCTGTCTATGGGCAGGCTGGTTGCACTGAGGTCGATTGATGGATCAAAACCAGCCTGTCGTGTTTTTTTTTGGTGCGATCACTGTCTGCAACTATAGCTGCCAGCAGTGATCACTATATTCTGACACTGTAGAAGTAGAGCAGCAGGAGGGATTCCCCCATCAACACTGACTGTGATTATGAGGGAATCGAGTGATTTTCTTTCCTTCTACCTGCGGTGGAAGAAAAAAAAAATTGTATAATCTATGTGTTTTTTTTAAGAGTGTGTGTGTGTATATATATATATATACACAGACACACACACGTGTGTTTGAGCTTTGGGGTGCATGCCCTAATGCTATAGGCTGCGCACACCTATGCCTAAAGGTTTCCTGGTGAGTAAAAAGTTCTCGCTACAGGCCCTGGCCTCCCCTTGCCGGCCAGTTTGGGAATCTGGAGTTGGTGCAGCAGGCACTGTCCAACCTGAACTGCCCGGTGAGCAGAGTGTACCTGGAGCAGAGCTTCAGCCTAGGATTTATTATTTATTTATTTCAGGTACTTATATAACGCCGTCAATTTACGCAGCGCTTTACACATATATATTGTACATTCACATCAGTCCCTAACCCTCAAGGGGCGTACAATCTAAGGTCCCTAATTCACATTCATACATACACATATTAGGGCCAATTTAGACAGGATCCAATTAACCTACCAGCATGTCTTTGGAGTGTGGGAGGAAACCAGAGTACCCGGAGGAAACCCACGGAGGCACAGGGAGAACATGCAAACTCCAGGCAGGTGGTGCCGTGCCTGGGATTCAAACCAATGACCCTAGTACAGCCAGGTGGAAGTGCTAACCATTTAGCCACTGTGCTGCCCCACAGGATGGGGGTTGGTAGGAGGCATGGAAGAGGGAGAGCGAGAGGGGAGTCAAGTCGCAGCACCATGGGCTTCTGGGTTGTACTTGCCCCCTCGGTTAAAAGTTGCCAGCCAGCCCCTGGTGCAAACTCTCCACTTTTCAATAGCTGTAGTATAAAGGTATACAGTCTATGCCAAGACAACATTGTCCATACCGTAGAAAGCCATGAGATAAGTGAAAGTCCAGCACCGACATGGTATGAAATAAAATTGTAGTACTTTATTCATCGCTACATAAAAAGAATCCATCCAATGTAAATTCTGATGCATTTTAGCCCCACAAACTTTGGGCCTTAGTCATAATCAAAGTATACACACGAAACAGCTAAATATATAGCTTTCCCCTTTCAGCTATGATAGAGGGGTGGAGATCACAAAGGGAAGACAATCAATGACAGGTGATGATCAACTCTCTCCGCGGCTTCCTCCCCATGACAGCTAGATAGCTCAACATAATAGGCAAGCTGATGTATTGTAACAAACAGTACAGTAGTGCAGTTGGAGTTATCATATATCCAGTATTAAAAAGGGCAGCCTGGTTTCTTGCCTTGCTGTCCAGTGGCGATGTTTCTGTCTTGTGACATACCAAGACTGATACTTCACCATGGAAGAGAGGGGCCATAAACCATTCCATCCAGCTCAAGATGACAGGAGGGATCACAGAATGTATTTTGCAAAGTAATAAAAATGATTGCGTTAAATTAAAATTATATTGATTTTGGGCCAATATTATTTGAAACATTTCCAATTTATGGGTTTTAAAAATAATGACACATCTTTTTTACTATTTCTATAACACCTCTATTTTACAAATGAATGTTTAATACAGGGTTCACTCATAGTCAGCTGTGGCACAGACATTATAGGTTTTCTAAATAAAAAGCATAGCTAAATATGTTTTCCTTCAGACTGTCTCTCTGTGATTGAATTTTCACATTACCCCATTAAAACAGAGCAGTAAGGGAAAGAGGGATAAGTAATTTATTTTGTAGCTTTTGTTTGCAACTTAAAACTTGAGCTATTGAGCTCTGAAAACAGCAGGCGTTTTTCAATAGAGAAGCCAAGAATACACAATTAACATGTAAAAATGAGCCTAAAACAATACATATTACATGACAAAAAAATGAAAACATACAGGTGAAACTCAAAAAATTAGAATATTGTGCAAAAGTTCATTTATTTCAGTAATGCAACTTAAAAGGTGAAACTAATATATGAGATAGATTCATTACATGCAAACCAAGGTAGTTCAAGCCGTGATTTGTCATAATTGTGATGATTATGGCTTACAGCTCATGAAAACCCCAAATCAACAATCTCAGAAAATTAGAATATTGTGAAAAGGTGCAATATTCTAGGCTCAAAGTGTCCCACTCTAATCAGCTAATTAAGCCATAACACCTGCAAAGGGTTCCTGAGCCTTTAAATGGTCTCTCAGTCTGATTCAGTAGGAATCACAATTATGGGAAAGACTGGTGACCTGACAGTTGTGCAGAAAACCATCATTGACACCCTTCATAAGGAGGGAAAGTCTCAAAAGATAATTGCAAAAGAAGATGGATGTTCCCAAAGTGCTGTATCAAAGCACATTAATAGAAAGTTATGTGGAAGGGAAAAGTGTGGAAGAAAAAGGTGCACAAGCAGCAGGGATGACCGCAGCCTGGAGAGGATTGTCAGGAAAAGGCCAATCAAAAGTGTTGGGGACTTTCACAAGGAGTGGACTGAGGCTGGAGTCAGTGCATCAACAGCCACCACACACAGACGGATCCTGGACATGAGCTTCAAATGTCATATTCCTCTTGTCAAGCCGCTCCTGAACAACAAGCAACGTCAGAAGCGTCCTACCTGGGCTAAAGAAAAACAGACCTGGTCTGTTGCTCAGTGGTCCAAAGTCTGCTTTTCTGATGAGAGCAACTTTTGCATCTCATTTAGAAACCAAGGACCCAGAGTATGGAGGAAGAATGGAGAGGCACACACTGCAAGATGCTTGAAGTCCAGTGTGACGTTTCCACAGTCTGTGTTGGTTTGGGGGGCCATGTCATCTGCTGGTGTTGGTCCACTGTGCTTCCAGGGTCAACACAACCGTCTACCAGGAGATTTTGGAGCACTTCATGCTTCCTTCCGCAGACAAGCTTTATCGGGATGCTGACTTTATTTTCCAGCAGGACTTGGCACCTGCCCACACTGCCAAAAGCACCAAAACCTGGTTCAATGACCGTGGGATTACTGTGCTTGATTGGCCAGCAAACTCGCCTGATCTGAACCCCTTAGAGAATCTATGGGGCATTGCCAAGAGAAAGATGAGAGACACGAGACCGAACAATGCAGAAGAGCTGAAGACCGCTATTGAAGCATCCTGGTCTTCCATAACACCTCAGCAGTGCCACAGGCTGATAGCTTCCATGCCACGACGCATTGAGGCAGTAATTGCTGCAAAAGGGGCCCAAACCAAGTACTGAGTACATATGCATGCTTATACTTTTCAGAGTCCGATATTGTTCTATGTACAATCCTTGTTTTATTGATTGCATGTAATATTCTAATTTTCTGAGATTGTGGATTTGGGGTTTTCATGAGCTGTAAGCCATAATCATCACAATTATGACAAATCACGGCTTGAACTATCTTGCTTTGCATGTAATGAGTCTATCTCATATATTAGTTTCACCTTTTAAGTTGCATTACTGAAATAAATGAACTTTTGCACGATATTCTAATTTTTCAAGTTTCACCTGTACTTTTACCATTTTTTAGCCATATAAAAATATAATTTAAATATTTTTTTAGTCCTGAACATAATAAGGAAACCAGAAAACATGCATTACCTTCAAATTGATTACCACAATCAGATTTCAATTGATTCTCATTTGCTGCTTGCCTGACATAGAGTGCCTCCTACTGGACTAACTCTGTTATATGTAGATAAAACCTGATTGTCTTTTTTTTCTACCCCACTATGTTAAGTACTACATACATTAGTCATCCTTTCAGGCCACACTGAATATAAAACACATCCAATAAATTATTGCACAGTGAAAGGATTTTTTTCTTCCTGTTTCTCATTAAGACCAGCTTGTGCCTTAGCACCGACGGTGTTCCCCAATGCTTTGTGAATACGAATGATTAGAAAGAAACACAGAGGGGACATGAACAGGCTTTAGTTCCCACATTACACTTGTCTGGTGAGATGTTAACACTTGATTTGTCAGACTCTGCATGCGTCGCTTTCATCTTCAATAATGGAGAAAGAACAAATAAAATGTGTTTTGGTTTTGATGTACCCCCTGCCAACATGGCAAAGAACTCAAAGTGCTCTAGGTGGTGTTGACTCTCTTTATCTGGCCTGTGTTCAGTAGGATTAAGGCAATGACCAGATAGCAGCATTCTGGCACACAGCTCCTCCTCAGGAGAAGGAAGGATATAAGTGCCTGAACTGCCTTCATAACAATGGTTCACAGGTCCCCAGAGACTGGTTTGCAAAGAGATTTCATCTTGCTTTCTCTTATACATCTCAAGGCTTCCTGTTTTCTCACGGTCTTTTTTGGACAATTTACAGTCATTCTTATTCTGGTTTTCTCTATCTGGCTCTCTGAGGAAAGAAACACCCCTCTTTTAAGGGAAGACAGCTCAGCAGTGGCCTTTGTAGCTCTCTGCAGGCCTTTGGTTTCCATTGCTTGGATCTCATACTGAATGTGAGATGCCAAAGGAAGAACGGTGCTGTGCGAAGCATTTATGTTAGTTGTATGCCATTGTGTTACATAACATTCCTTGCAAGTATTTCAACTTTGCATGCTATTTAGTCCTTTTTTCCACATAGTGCAATGACCAGAGCTAAATGTTGAAAATATGATGTCCTAGGCAGATCATTGAATGATCATGCTATGTTACAGTATATATTCTGCACAACTTTTATTGATGACAATGTAATGTAACTGTCTGAAAAATTCAACTGCATCACAGCAGGCTGTATAGAGCTTCTGTTTATTTGTACATCCAAAAGTCAAATTCCTGAACAGAGACAAGAGATGGTTTTAAAATTATTGGTTACTTAAACTGCAGGGAGTCTTGCGAGTCCTGTCCATAGCCAAAAAAAACATTAGCTTTAGATGAAAAACTTGAAAAATATAACAGTGAATACAAATGTAAGTGCAGAATTTAAGCTTTGCAGACCAAACAGCATCAGTGTTATGAACAGTCTAACAAACACTAATGCGTTTGTGGTATCATCCGTATCAACATTTAGATGTAGCAGTTCAGTCATTTCATAAATTTCTTACAGACCTATATCATCAGAAAAATTAGTATTCATATTAAGCAGGAAACATAAGAGGACATTGTTTGAAACCCACATATCGATTTGGGCAGACCATTAGCTGTATTTGTATTGAAAAAGGCCTCTGAAAGAATGAATTGCCCATGAAACTTGCACTTAAATTATATGTTTAGGTATTACCCAAATTAACCCCCAAACATGCCCCATGTCCTGAAGAGCATGTCCTGGCATTATAATTTTATTTTACTTTGTTTCTGTTAGTGAGAAAAAATCTTTTAGCCCCTGTTCACACCGATGTGACAGTTAAAATCGCATGACAGGTCGCACCCTATGATCAGCAATTGATTCGTTCTCATCCGTGTGACTCCAACAAAGTCTGAGTCACACCCATTTGAAAAGTAGTTCCTGCACTACTTTTGATGATTTCTGGTGCAGCTTCATTTACATCTGTGCATGAAGTCACACAGATGTCTTACAACATAGCTTGCAACTGTCTCTGATTTCGATGGACTATCCCTCATTTGTCCCTCTGTCCCCTTCCTCCTCATTTGTTCCTCATTTTGGTCTGATCTATATAGTTGTATATAAAATTAACTATTTATCTATCAAAAACTGTTTTACAGTGCAAAACCTTTCATCCAATTTCTAAATTGCTGCATTTGCAAATTTCAAAAGCCAATATAAAGAAATGGTAGTGGTAAAAAAAACACTTGTGGGTTTAACCAATCATGTTTTTGTATACTCCTTTAAGGGGATGTGTGGCTTATGTGTACACACTTTTGCTAATAGGTGTCCCTCATTCCAGTCTCAGAGAGTTGGGATGTAAGCTTACAAGTCGCACCTGAAGTTGCACTGACATGCGACTTTGAAGTGATACGACTTCAAGTGAAGTCGCATGATTTCAAAGTCATATTCAGTGTGAGCCAGGGCTTATTACTCCCTGTGACATAATTACCAAAGGCAGCTACGGGGATCTAATTTCCTATTGACATAGTTATGCAGAACTACAGCACATCTTCCAAGAGACTTTTTCCTACACACAGTGGGGTTGATTTACTAAAATTGGAGAGTGCAAAATATGGTGCAGCTGTGCATAGTAGCCAATCAGCTTCTAACTTCAGCTTGTTCAATTAAGTTTTGCCTAAAAAAATCTGGAAGCTGGATTCTATGCAGACCTGCACTAGATTTTGCACTCTCCAGTTTTAGTAAATCAACCCCAGTGTGTGTAGGAAAAGGTTTCTTGAGTCAAGGCTAGAAAAGAGATCAATGGATGCCTATGGAGAGGAACAGAGAGGAGTGGGTGATATATGCAGTTCTGTTGTCCAATCTAGCTGGCCAAAGATGGATAAAATTCAGTTGATTTTCTCAATCACTGCCGCGTGTTTTGATGAATGTATTCTAACGATAGGGAAGCCTGTATGCATGGGAATTGATTCATTTTGTTTTGTTCAATCCGCTAGTTGTATGAAGGAAAATGAATCAAGTATGGCTACCTTGTGCAAGACTCATAACAATGGTTGGCAATTTAGATTAAGCGGGACTACTGATCCTGGCTTCCTCATCTAAATAAGTAATCTGGAACAAATAAGTGCATATATGGTGTTCTAAGCCCTATACTAACTACCATATAAAGCAAAGATATCTATTTTTATCTATTCTGAAGACACTCCACCCTGGTCATGTAATCACCCCAGAGGTCAGCAGTTCAGTGACGTCACCCATAGACGTACTATGGGGAAACCGTTGTTAACTGTCCCACCTCTGCGCTGAAACTGGAGCTAGGAGTCAATCATGTGACCGGACCATAGCGTCCTCAGAATATGTAAGTATAGACATTAGAAGGTAGAATAGGGCTTAGAATTGGGGTGGGAGCAGGTTTGGGCTTAAAAAGTAGTTGACTGGACTTCTACTTTAAGTAGATAAACAAAGATTAGAAAGACAGCTCCTACATCTTTATCTGGAGAGACCACAGGTGATGATATTACTGTTGTACATAGCAGACAGTATCTGTTTATACCCATGTTTGTGTGTGTATACATACAGTATGCATGTATTTATTACTTTATTTTATTTATTTATTATGCAGATATTAATATAACACCAACAATTTACAAAGCAATTCACATATTGAACATTCAGCTTCTGCCCTCAAGCAGCCTACAATCTAAAGTGCCCATCTCACATGCATGCACATACTAGGGCCAGAAAGTAGCCAATTAACCTACTAGTATGTCTTTGAAGTGTAGGAGGAACCCTAGGTAAGCACAGGGAAAACTATCAAACTGAACGCAGGTAGTGTCCTGATTGGGATTCAAACCGAGAACTCCAGTGCTACACGACAGAAGTGCTAGCCACTAAGCCACTATACTGCATTGTGACTTTACAGTCCTGATCAGAATGATGTGTATAAACTGCTCATGTTTCAGTTTAGCACAAATATCTTCACATTTAAAATCTTCAAAGTAGTGAAATGATCATAGATGCACAATCAATACTGCTTTACCCGTGTTGATTATTTTGTTTGTCTCATATGATTGATTGTCAAATCCATCATTGCTTCTACATCCTCCTTTCCAACAGACATTCCACAGTTGAAATGTTTGGAAAATAATTTTAGTAATCACAGACATTTGTCCTAGTACTTCTGTTCTTTGAATAATGTTCCCATTTGTGCAGATGAACTGATAATTGGCCTGCTAAAGACTGCCTTATATTTATTCATTTATGTGTAATATGATTTTCTTCTGTATGACATTTCATAATGCTTACAATGTTTTCACAGCTGTGTGGAAAAGAGTTTAACCGAATGCATAACTTAATGGGCCACATGCACCTCCATTCAGACAGCAAACCCTTCAAGTGTCTTTACTGCCCCAGCAAATTTACTCTGAAAGGAAACCTCACCCGGCATATGAAGGTCAAACATGGTGTCACGGAAAGAGGATATCACTCTAGAGGTAAGATCACACAGCAATAATCATCTTGACTTTGGATTTTTACTAGAGTGGTGATATGATCATCAACAGTTATTTGCAGTAATAAAACAATAAAAGCACTTGGAAAAAAAGAAAAGTTGAACTGGATAGAAAACGTTAAAGGTCTCCATAAAAGGTTTATTGTATCTTGGCTCCCTACAACAATGCAAACTGAATGCAGAGGGCCTTGAGATAAAAACACAGTTGGGCCTCTCTAATGTCCATCGTTAAACCTCCATACATTGTGGTTAATTATGTTTGGGTGCAATCTGAAAAATGCTCACATGTGCATCACCTGCTATTTTTCCCTATTTTCTGTGCCAGATGTACACTCGTTGATATCAGCACTGCCATCTCTATTCTATTCTGTAACATTGTTACCAGACAGACTACCAAGCCAGTTCTCTTCCTTCCAAAATAATTAAAGTTACACTCCAGTCGAACTACACTAATAACATTTTATGATGCTCATACCTTCCAGTTTTCTGAGATGGAAAAGAGATATTCATTATAGCATGTACAGTATGTAGGCAAAGGACATACCCTATCACACCACCCGTAACATGTATCATGATGATTAATGTGCCATAAATGATTGGCTTAACCAAATAACTACTGTTTCTTTATGTTGGTTTTTCAAAATAGAAAAATAATTTAAATGTTAGATAAAAAGTTTAATGTTGTAATACATTTTAGATAATAAATTATAAAGATCTAAAGATCAGGTTAAAAAGAGGGCCAACTGAGGAAGAAAGTGGAACAAAGGGAGTTGGTTTGAAAAGACAGACAGTCCCTTTAAATGATGAAAAATGAGGAGCTACTACTGTATAGAGAGTATAGCCTACCAGCTGTGTAATTCAGTTTTTCATCCAGACAATGCTGTACTCTTCCATTTCACCACACTCCCCTTTGTTTGCAAAATAGTGTAGCGAAAATACACCTGCTAGTGCTGAGAGTCAAATTCAAGCCTGCCCTGGAAGCTTAAATGTGATCGGTGATACAGGATCTAGAAGGAGAGATATGACGTTATAAAACAAAGGCTTCAGGAAACACACTATTAACAGGTCACACTTTAGGCCTGTTTGTGCTTCTCCTGTATTTCATTGTTTTTTAACTACGCCAATACTAGCATGTTACACCCTCTTTCTTTTTAGGCCTGTTTTAGTCTTCAATGCTGTGATGGTTTGACTGACAATTACTCAGTTGTGCAATACAGTACCATAATTAATTTCATATATTTTGTGAGACAGATAGAGCTTTCTTTTGGTGGTATTTCACAACCACATTTTTCTTTATAAAAGAAAGAAAGATAAAAAATTTAGACAATTAATGTACTCTGGGGGTGTAATAAGAACATACCCAAATCCATAGCTCCACTCAAGACTCACTACTATGATCATACATGGACAATCTGGGTGCTGGCTACTATAGCCCCTCTTTACTCTCCATCAAAGATGGAAAAAAAATATCATCCGAAATATAAACTTAGTTCCTCAAAGTGACTGCATACAACATGTATCCACCCAAAAACCAATCTTCATCACTCCTGGAGTGCTTAAAAGTTCCCCTATCCTTGTGAGCAAGCCAGGAGTGGTGAAAGGTTGTTTTTTTTTCGGTTGGAGACATATATCCAGTCACTTTGTTGACAACCAGCAAAGCAAAAGTAACAAAGTTTGAGTGTGGCTGATGCTTTTTTCATATCTTCGCTGGGGGTGTCATACTCATACATGTACAGGCAGGAGGGGAGCTCCTCTTGACATCTTCAGACATTGGGCCACCAGCCCGACATGTCTTATTGTGTGGGAAACTGAATATTTGCCTCCCAGCCCAGATCTCTCTGATGCTTGCTTCATTTCTATTAGTTTGCCCCAAATGGTTTATAATTAATGTACCATTTAGAATACAAGTATGACTGATCCAAAAAAAATGTGTACCGCTGGGGTGGTGGGTGAAAATTCGTATGCTTCTAAAAAGGGACATGCCTGAAAATGTTTTTGAGGATTACTGCAACTGCAGAGCAACTTGCAAGGACTTTGTTGTCTTCCTGCAAGCTCAAAAAAATGTTCTCCATGCAGGTTTCTTCACGGACATATTTCCTATCTTTCTGTTCTGTGAAACGCATGCACAGCATACAGGACACTTTACACATCTGATTTCTTCAGTATAAAAGTACTGCAGATACAACAATAAAAAACATAAAAATAAATTTCAAAATTAACCTCACCCATTACATACCAACTGCAGTTGCCCTAGTCAAGACAGTGGGCTGGTAGACCATGATCAGTAAGGTGCCACCCTCCGTAAAAAAAATAATACAAGGATAAACAGTATGAGCCATACCACCCACTCCCATCCAACCAGAAATAAGGGTACTGAGAAACATACAATATATTACATTGGTGTGGGTAAGAAAAATTTACATAAAATAAGTGCCTACCAACCCCACATATCACCAAATGGCTGAAGATAGAAAATAAGTTAGAAAATAACCCCTAGAGAGGTGCAGAAGACCATACACCCAGTATTCTTAGGTCAGTGCTAATTACACTTACATTAAATCAGAAATGTTTGAGGTAGAAGAAAACCATCTGCCCCACACTCTATCAAAATTGGTAAAATTCTACTATTCCTACTATTTGAGTCGGTGGCTTTAAACAAAGGTACCACTTTATTCACAAATGATTTCTATGCCTCTAATGTCTGTGCAGACATTTTCTTCTATGGCAAGATTGTCTACTGCATTACTAATATGTAATTAATATTATATGTAACTAATATGTACTTACAACCATTGTATATTTCTGGAATTAATTCCAATGTCATAAAGAACCAGGCTCATCATAAAACTTAGCATGATCCCAATTTCTTCTACCCCTAGGTCTGAGCAGAGGAAGAGCAGGCCTCTCCCACTCAATTGTCCTGCGGAGTCTGGAACAGAAGGAACCTTTTGACCTGTCTAGAAAGCGAAGGGTTAAAGAATTAAGTTGCAGTTCAGATGGGGAGAGAATAAAGGGTAGTTCTTTCCAACAAGGGGAGGAAGAAGACCCATCCAACACTTTGACAATGTACAACCAAGATGTTCATTGTGAATCAGAACATGGATTTGAGGAACATCATAATGCAATGAAGGTGAAGTGTAATAAAGAGAAGTACCATCGCCATATAGAAAGAGATGCAGAAAGAACAACTGACCACCACCACCACCACAAAAGAGGAAGAAGAAGCTTTTACAGATCAGTATAAGGGAACTTTGGGACTATCTGTTCCTGATTACTTATATTTCAAGAACCGAAAAACAAACCTAAACAAGCTACAGGTTGACGGAATTCATAAACAGAGCACTGACAAAATGGATTTAGTCCCTAACTGACTAAAACCAAATTAACAACAAAGCAATTGTATTACTTAATTGGCAAATTCAGTTGTATTTAACAGGACAGCGCAAATAACAATAATAATGTGCAAAGTCTGACCTTTCAAGAAACATCTCTTGCTGAGCTGACCGCAGTAATTCTAAATATGATTATTTGCTGCTACTGAGCTTTTCACGTAATCAATGCTCTTTGCACTATCTAACCAGCTTTCTACTAGATAAGCAGAGCTGGATAAAAACCACATGGAAAGTGACAACTTTGAGTCCCCTCAAGCCCCAATCCAACACCAACAACTGAATAACAGCTTGAGGTTGTGTACAAAGATCAGTACCAAGTATATTAAGTAGCAAATTTAGTTTGGATCATGCATGCATTTATGGATCCACAAGGCAATAACAACTAGAGCTGCCTTGTTACGTGACCAGTACTTATCCACCTTGAGATCACCATTGCAACAAACAAAACGTACTTTCTATAACAGGCAGTCGAGAACACTGAACACAAGATACTGTATATACTGTATAGGCAGCTTTGAAAATTTGCAGATTATCACACAGACGTGCTAACTGGTGGAATATGTGCATCTGCACATGGCAAGCCATAGGTGTTCCTACCAATACCTACCCAATATTTAATTTACACAGGGCAATACCATTCTGGGAAACACAAATTTGGTTATGCACTTCTGCTTGCTGAACAGAATGGCAGGGTGATGAAGGAAAGGTGAGTGTGTATCTAGCTCAGACTGGGACAAAAAATAGGCCCTAGCATTTTAGACTGAGCAGGCCTGAGGCCAGGAACTTCCCTTGGAGCCCAGTGGCAGAATGCCAGGGCCCGGTCGCAAGTGCGACCTTTGCGACCCTGGTAGTTCTGTCAATGGTGTTAGTAGTTTTTTATTTATTATTTTATTACCATTTTATTTTTTTTTACAATTATATTTTTTAGTATTTTTTACAATTTTTTTTAGTAGCCCCATTGGTGGGCTTTCGTGAGATATCAGAGGTCTAACCATACTCCTGACATCTCACCTTTGAGACAGAGAAAGGAGATTGAGGACATAGCTCTCAACCCTATGTATAGAGCTTCCCGTTCATTCATAAACTGAACACAGTTTACTATGCCTCAGTTATAAATGGACAAAGTCAGTAATTGGTACTGATCACTTACTGTTTATTCAGACAAGGAAGGGGCCTGTAAATGACGTATTTAGCAGCCCCTTTCCCGCTCTCCATCCTGACAGATTCCCTGCAGCAGCCGATGGGAGAGGAGAGAGGGGAACCTGGCAGCATTGTGCGGGGGGAGGGGTCACCAGGGCAGAGCACAATGGGACCAAGAGAGACAGGACCGGGTCCTGGGGGTAGCAAGAAAGAAGAAGGGATAGAAAGGGCGGCTGGGTGACATATAGAGAGAAACCAATCCGTCCATTTCTCTATTGCAACTGCTGAATGCCTGCAGGAGGGAGAGGAAGAGGAGTGGGCATTCAGCATTGGCAGGAGGGAAATGAACGGATTGGTTCCTCTATATGCTGCCCCACCGTCCCTCCTATCCAGGCGACCTCGGTCCACCGGGGAAATGCCTGGGTGTGCCCAATAGCTAGTCTGGGCCTGGTGTGTACTGCTGTGGGGGGAGGCATTAAAGAAAATCTGTTGCTCTACTCTGAAAGAGCAAAGCGCAGGTTTACTGTAAGGATAGCATACAGGGGAAATAGAGATGTGTTTTCTATGTACTTGATTTGTATTTACCATAGAAAAATACAAGCAAAACCAAAGTGATCTCAAACTAAATTTATCTGAGCTCAAATGCCTGTATACACTTAGCTTGCACCAGGGCACTGGAAGCTGTTGCTAGAAGGTATGGTGCTAACAGCCTGTGCAAGTCTCAAACTGCAAAGCAGCTCTTGTTGATGTGAAAATGATTTTATTCTGAAAATATTTTTACATCAGTGAGGGATTGAGACTACACTATTTGTAACCCTTTTAAAAATACAGTTGTTTCTTTCTACTCCTACACACATATCTATGAGAGCCCAACTGACTTGGCCAACTTGTGGTTATTTTGACACTTTTCAGTATTGCTTTATAGTTGGTTTTTAGGCTTGTTGTGTATTATTGTGAAGTTATTGCAGAATAAAATAACAAACTGAAACTAAGCACTCTTTATATCTGAATTTGGCCAAATAACATAGAAAATAAGAACATTTTCAACCGCTATGCAATAGGAGATTCTTCTATCCTGCTTTAAGAATTCCTACCAATGAATCTACCATGATATATTAGAAAAATATAGGCAAAGGAACAGCGGTTCCCAAGCGGTCTCAAGAAAACAGGTAAAGATTTTAGTTGCGCGAATGTAATAATCTCAAGCCCCTGCTTGCGTATTTAATTATTATTTTTCTTCTAGACTGGAGTTCTTAGAGGCACAGAGTATTCAGTGCAAAAGAATTACTCTTGCCAATGTTTGGTACCCTTAGAAGAATACATTAACTTTGGATGCAGGACTGAATATTTTTGTATAGAGCACAACTGAACTTTAAGCAGAACAGAGTGACAGTTTTTAGGTGCAGATCTTGATGGTTGTAGCAAATGCTCAAGTTAGAATATTCAAGTCCAAAGTTAAGAAGAGTTCCATATAAATGGCAGTTGAACATAGGTCAATTGGTCCTAAAAGATCTTCTAATAATGACTTCCAGGTGTACCGATGCAGAGTAGTCAGTCTCCTTTATCTTTTTTCCAGCTCTTGGTATGCCCTGTATGGCTATGATGTCTCATCTTGTCAGGGTGATACTATGGCTAGCTAAGTGACTGGAATTCAGAAAAACAAGTGTGTCACAAGGACCTGGCCTTTGGGTGTAGGAAGTATAAATTGGAGCTAAGAAACTGGCAATGATAATGTTCAGTTCAGAGTTTTTAATGCCAAAAAGTGAACTAAAAAACATTGCCTTACCTACTATAATCCTATCCTTAAAATGAACCCATGCTTTGCACTTGCAGGGCAAACTACATGTTCACTTAAATGCCTGAAGTCCAAGGTGTTTATACTAACTTTCTCACAAATTGATGACGCTATATAAGTACCTGAAATAATAATAACCACATTTACTCTTTTCACTTGTGAGTGAAGTGAAGAACGCTGTGTAAAGGTCTAAGGTCTTCCTGCTCAGGCCCCTAGCATTGTTATTGGTTTTAGAGAGACTAACTTGCTCCCTGAAGCCTGACGCACCAGGTGTTTTTTTAACTGTGTTTATTGAGGATAATGAATAAAAATGTGCCAGGTAGTTATGTTAATTCCAGAAGGCCAAACAGAGAGGTAGATGAGCAAAGGGAATGTGTCTATATGCAGTGGGCAGGCAACACTGAAGAGACATTTAAAGTGTTTGTAAACCCTCACATATACCCAGTGAAGTGACTGGCCTCAAATGATACACAGAGATTAAACAAATCCTCCTACAGAAGTTGTACCTGTTTATTCTGCTGTTGTCTCTTCTCTGCATCCATTCAAAGTGCTGAATTTATAAGGCTTGTCTGAAAGTTCAGGAAAAAGTGGGCGGGAGTTGAAGTCACACTCTGCAGAGCTCAGTGATGAGAACTCTGAGAGCTGATTGGAAGTAAGGAACTCCCCCCCCCCCCACACAGCTCATAGGAACAGAGCTGAGGCTGTTACTCTGCTGGAGGTCCCTCTCCTGACACCATTTTTCTCTTGGTGTCAGGAAAACTTTTCAGAAGGGATTTATGCTGACAGCAGAGGAATGAAGCAGCAGACAGAAATTACACTTTAGTGCGCTTAACCACTTTAGTGCCACCCCATAGCAGAAATACTGCTAATGGGCAGCAGCTGTGCGCAAAATCACGTAAATATATACGTGATTTTGCATCTCTGGGTAGGGGGCACGCGCCCCACCCACGCCGCCATTCGCGGCCAAGGCTGTCAATCACCGGGTCCCTGCCGGTGATTACTCGCCAGCACCCAGTGATTGCCGAGCATCTCTGACAGGTGGGGGAGAACTGTTTGTAAAAAAAAACTGTTCTCTCCCCTGTCAGCTCTTGCACACTGCTTTGCATGGCTGTGCAGTGAAGCACAAACACAGCACACAGTTATAAAAGGCACACAGCACACAGTTAACCTTTCATCGCCCACATGTTAACCCCTTCCTGCCCGGTGCCATTAGTACAGTGTCAGTGCTTTTTATTAGCACTGATCACTGTATTGGTGTCAGTGGGGATGTTAGTGATACCAAGTCGGTTACCCCCCAGTGTCAGAATGTCAGCTGCAGTCCTGCAATAAGTCACTGATTGCTGCCATTACTAGTGAAAAAACAAAAAACCCAGTATATATACCGCCATTTTGTAAATGCTATAACTTTCACGTAAACCAATTAGTTTACACGTATTGGGATTTTTTTTTAGCAAATATGTGTATCAGAATACATTTTGGCATAAATTTAAGAAGAAATTAGATTTTTTAAAATTTTTTACTGGACATGTTTAATAGTAAAATGTCAAAAATATTGTTTATTTCTCAAAATTGTCGGTCGTTTTTTTTTTTTAGCGCAAAAAAATTAAAAAAGGTGATCAAATACCACCTAAAGAAAGCTCTATTTGTGGGGAAAAAAGGACTTAAATTGAATTTGGGTGCAGCATTGCATGACTGCGCAATTATCAGTTATAGTAACGCAGTGCCGTAATGCAAAAAATGGCCTGGTCAGGGAGGGGGGTAAATCCTCAGGAGGGCAAGTGGTTAATTGAGACAAGTACACACTGTAGAGGGATATTCTTGGTTCTTATTTTATAAGTTTACAACTATTTTAAGTGAATTATGAAAAATGCACAGGTTCACTTTAGCTTAATTCTTAAGCTGGTCATACACTGTTCGATTCTTTTTTGAAAATAATAAACCAACAGATTTCGCCATACACCCCATTTGAGTCCTCCCTGCTGGGACATTGTATTGTATCAGACAACGGCAAGTAAGAAAGTGATGTAAACCCACGACAAAAAGTGACATGTAGCTGGAAGCCCACACATCTTTGAACACTCTAATGGACTGAAATGTGGAACATGGACATCTCCTACACCATGAGAAACATTGTATTCTGACAGCGTCACCCGCCACTGGCACATGGCTCAAATCAAAAAGATTTATTACCAGTCTAAGGCACCGTTTTTAGCCATTTAAATGTAATTTTCATATTTCATTGGCATCAACTCAAAATAATTTACTTTGTTCAAATAAGGATATTTATTTTGGTGTGTTAGTGCTGTATTTTTATTTGTTCCAAAAACCCGAACTATGTAGAACCAAAGTATCATAAAACTACTGAAGGTATTCCTGTGCAGTTCACAATTTTTGTAAGTGTTCTAGTACTTTTCTAAGTTGGTAAAACCTTTATTTCACAGAATGTCTGCCTACACTGTAAGTGACAGAATCACTTTAACTATTGCACTTTAAGCCACACTCTGCACAAATAAGCAGCTTTCTATGACACCTTAATAATAGCCCTGGGATTTCAGTGTTCTACAGAAAATGGAAGCAATCCTGAATGTAGTAATATATTCAGAATGCCTTGTCAGTATGTAATTATTTGCAATACAAATAAATATATTAATTTTAAACTAAATAGTGTTATGCGTTTCATTAGGTAATAAAAATAAAAAAAACCCTTTATCACAAATGAAGTTTTATTTATGGTAAGCCAGAGATTTAGGCCCTGTTTGTAGCTATGTGCAATATTAAAATTTGTATCTTTGTGTGTGTTTTAGGGGTGGATGCATTAGTTTGTATAGGGTCTTCAATGCAGATCCATGATTAAAAAAAAACTTTGACCTTAACTTATCACAATGCATACACCAGTAGACACATGCATTATGTTGGGATGTGATATAGGAACAGATTACAGTATCTTCTTTAACCACTAGCCTACAGGCACTTATACCCCCTTCCTGCCCAGGTCAATTTCCAGCTTTCAGCGCTATTGCACTTTGAATGACAATTGCGTGGTCATGCAACACTGTACCCATATGACATTTTTATCATTTTGTTGTGACAGATAGAACTTTATTTTGGTGGTATTTAATCACTTCTGGGTTTTTTATTTTTTTCTTAAACAAACCAAAAACTACAGAAAATTTTGAAAAAAAAATTTTTCTTAGTTTTTGTTATAAAATTTTGTACATAAGTGATTTTTCTCCTTCACTGATGTGCGCTAATGAGGCTGCAGTGATGGGCACTTATAGGCTGCACTGATGGACACTGATAGGTGGCACTGGTAGGTGGCACTGATGGGAATGACAGGCATCACTGATGGGCACTGAAAGGCAGCACTCATATATGGCACTGACAGACGGCACTGACTGGCACTGTTAGGTGGCACTGACGGGCACTGATAGGCGGCATTGACTGGCACTGATAGGTGGCACTGATGGGTGACACTGAAAGGGAGCTCAGCTGGGCACTGATATGTGGCATTGATGTGGCACTGGCAGGTGGCATGGATGAGCACTGAGAGCTTGCTCTGATGGACACTGACAGGTGGCGCTGCTGGGGCTACACAGATCATCAGGGCACACTGATCATCAGTGCTCTGATGATCTGTGTACATGTCCCCTCCGAGGAATGCCGATTACCGGCTCTCCTCTCTTCACGATAACCGGCATTTCCCAGTTTACATGTGATCAGCTGTGATTGGACACAGCTGATAACATGACCGAGCTGACATCTTCGGCTCTTTCTGTGGATCGGTGATCCGCTGTGTCCGAGGGACACAGCGCACAGCCGATCAACGCGCTGCGCGCTCCGGGAGCCGCACATGCGCGGTTAGAATGGGAGGACGTCATATGACGTCCTCCCAGAACAAGAGAACCACCTTGCGCCTGTCATATTACTATATGGCGGGCGGGAGGCGCTTAATGTGTGGACGTGCATTTTTTTTAACCCACAGAAAATGGGTGGGTGGATGCAAAAATGCATTTACATTTGTCATTGAATATGATTACATCCAAATGCACTTTACAATGCATGCATAGGTGCCTACAGGTGTGAATGTGTTCTTGCCAACAAATAACTAAATGTGCACACAGTGGTTCCCTGGTGCTGTTAATGTTAAGAGAATCTGAACTATGAAAGCCCAAAAAGAGCTAGCAGTGAGTCTAGTGTTGCCTGTGATCTCTCTGCATCTAATTTTCCCTCATTACTTCTGTTTTAATACATTTTTACTCACGGTTTTCCAAAATTACAAAGTTACTATAACAAATCCAGATATGTAAGTCCTTGAACCAGTAGAAAGAAATACATCTCCAAAATACTAAAGCAAAAGGCCCCTGGCCCTCTCTACTTAGATAGGTGGTTTGCATCAGGAGCTATATGCAACGGGCTTAGTCATATTTAATGTAGTCACGGGTGGACCATTTCTAGGGGTCAATCAAGTATGTGGATAAAGAAATGGAAAGAAAAAAAAATAAGAACAGAGAGAAGTTAAAGGTATGTTGCTAGATGGGGATAAGAAGCAGTTGGTAGCCCAATCATGCCCTATTCATATTACCTCACAGTTTAAATATATTGGGGTCCATATTAACCTGGTCCCCACTGACTTCTGTAAATCTAATATCGCCTCTCTTCTCACCTGCTTCAGGGTTAAAAAAAATTGGTATAATTTTAAGTTATCAGTCGTAGGAAAAAACAATTTAACAAAAATGATTCTCATGCCTCAGTTGTTATACTTTCTTCATAACACATCAGCTGTGATCCCACAAAAAATCTTCAGAATGGTGAACTCAGTATTCCGTACCCTGTTATGGAGTAATCTCCCTCCTAGGGCCAAAAGGAAAAAAAAAAAAAAGGGCTTTATTACATAGAGGCACAACTGCAACACTTGGTGGGCTTCCTGGCTTCCCCGGCAGGTTCAAACTCCCCAATCCTAAACTCCCTGGCCCAGATACTTCTCACCTCTATACACAGAGAACCTATTCCAGAAGGGTTTGAATCCATAGCATTTGGAAAAACTAACAAACGCTTCCCAACTTATAAAAGAAATTTGGAACAAGGCCAGGCAATTACAAAAGATTACTGGCTTCTCTAAATAAGATATCCCAATATGGCAAAATGCTCCATATGTGGAACTGGAGAAACTACAAGAGAGCAGTCGCTGGAAGGAGTTTGGGGTAACACATCTACATCATATCTTTAAAGAGGTGGTCCTGATGCCCCATTCTGAATTGAAAGCAACGTTTTCTCCACTTCAGTACATGTATTGTTTTGTGCAAGTTCAACATGCTATCAGGACACTAGGTGATGCAGTTGAATGGCGCCAGTCTCTGGCTCCGCTATTTAATCTGCTCTCCACTGCTGAGTCCTCTAAAGGCTCAATATTACAGTGTTATGGATTTATGCTATTGTAAGAATATCTTAAAAAACATCCTCTAAAGGTGATGGTACAGTGGGAGAAATATTTAGGGTGTATGATGGGGGACCAATAGAAAGAAGCTTTGTCTGTTATCACTTGCTCTCTTAATGTAACCCAAAAATGATCCTAATTGTATATTCTACTTAGGACTTATTATACTCTGTTTAGATTGTTCAAAATGGGTATCCAGCCTGATCCTCTGTGTATAAAATGTAAGAGGGATCACGGAGACCTTATCTATTTACTTTGGTGCTGCCCTAAACACCATCATTACTGGAAGGGAGTGGTAGACACGATTCACAGCATGTTTCAAGCTACTATACCTCTAAACCCCAAATGCTGCTGGGAATTTTGGGAGACATAGATCCTAGAGAATTTACCCATGAGGCAATCTCCACAGCCCATAAATTACTCTTGATCCACTGGAAACCCTTATCTTCTCTCTCTCTGAAAGAGTGGATCTGTGCTGTAGGCGACACCCTTCGACTGGAACAATATATGTAGCGCTACCCCTGCAAGGGCTGCTGGATATTACTTGTCCTCTTGTGCTGCCCTGATCCTGAGAACTTCCCAGTCCTTCTGACACTCTTGGTTCTGACCTATTGTATACCCCTTGAAGGTGTCAGTCAGCCAACCTGGCGCAGCATCCACGGCCGTGTGGATGGAACATCAGATATTTAGACACAGCAAACTTTAGACAAAGCAAATAGTGATAAACAATAGCACTATGCAGAGAATGATGCATACTAAATATTTGAATGTACTCGGGGAACTCAGTGGTGGAAAGAAGGAGGGGGAGTTATAATTAGAGAGAGGCTTGACTGTAGGGAATCCTAAACTTATGATGGGTAGGTAATCTCTATTTGGGCCAACTCACACCCTGCAGATAAAAGGATAAGGGTAGTCCAAGTGTCAGGCCTGAACACAGTCTTTGCCAGCATGTTGGAGTTCAGTAAAGTTGAAGGAAATAACCTCAGTGGGGAAAAGAGATCTAAGCAATCAGCAGGTGAGTAGTGGGTGTCTCAAAGTGGCAAATTCCTTTATGATCAGGATTATGGTGCCTGCATGCAGTGTTCATGTGCTGAAGGTTACTGAATAGAGAAAGATTTTGGATTTAAGCCCGCGCACCAGATTCTGGAAGTAGTTGGCACACACAGGAAGCGATGCAGGGTCTGTACTTCAGTCAGTGGAAGGATGGATGCGATAGGTCGGGTGTGAACTCATCGGTGCAGGTTGGCGCCCAAAGAGCAGTGTCAGGGAGTCCTTTAAAGCTGCACAGCGGTGTGGGCTCACCCTTCCAGGGGCAGGAACAGCTCAAAGGCTCTGGGTAGGCCCCAGCAAAAAGATGACAGCTCTGATGTACCCTGATGGATCCCCAGGGAGAGAACTGTGAGCCGGCTGAACCCAGCTCTTTAAATAGTCTTTTCCATAATCCTCCTGCTTGATTAACAGGTTGCTGGGAGATGCAGTCTAAGGGTAACTCAAGAGTCCAGATATGGTTGAACGCAAGATTACAAGTCCCACTGTCCTTTGCTTCTGGGCTCAGAAATATGATGCAAGCAGTCTGAGTACGGCACTAGAATGAGAACTGGAACAGTCCACAGCAATGAAGGTAATATTCACGACATTCATTTTATCGTAGCTGGCACCTGGCTACATACACTGTATACCAGCATAGGGGATGTTCTGGTAAATACGAGAAATTATGCAGTTAGTGCAAATTTGGTTGTTGCAATGCCCTGTAAGTTGACTGGTTCTGTCCCGAAAGTTGGTGCATAGATAGTCCTGCAGGTTATGAGCTGTTGGTGAATTAATTTTTATTTACTGTGCCTTTATGTCAACTTTGCTATACCTGCCCAAAATGATACCTACATATGATTTTTGTTGGAACTGTAACCTGGCTGCATAGCAGTGTTTGATATGAACTGTTGTATCTATGTTTGCACTAAAAAAAACTTCTGTGATTAAAATAAATAAATAAAGGAGTTAAAGGTAGAAAATTAATGGGGTGTGTCATTCGGGAAAATGTTTACTCCTTTATGCAATAAAGAAGATTTTTGTATTCACTTGTTGCCGACATTTTTGGAATTGGACAAGTATACACTAACCACCAGTGTTTGAATAACTTATACAAATGTAGTGCTACCCTCTTGAAAGACGCTGGTTTTGGTTCCCCCTTTACTTCCTGCACAGCCAGGCAACACGCAGTCACTGGCTAAATACAGTATATGAACAAAGTCCTACCCCTGGGAAAAGTTTAAGACTTGCACAGTCAACAGAGACTTAGATTACTGGTACTCAACTTCATTGAGGCAAAAGCCAGCTATATTCTTTCAAAACCTTCAATGCCCAAACGGTAAAAAAAAGTTTGCATTCATACAAGAAACGTACAGGGATGCAAAATATGTATTAGAAATATTTTAAGCACACACAGAATACCAATTGATGTTAGTATTAATAACCCCCAGCATGGGTGTCAGTGTCAGTAACAGTAACTCGTAGCATTGGTGTCAGTGGCCACAATGATAAGCCCCAGCATTGGCATCAGTGGATGTAATAATACACGTGACTTTGCAGCCCTACCCACATCGCCATTCGCGGCCTCGGCTGTCAATCACGATTGTGAGTCCTTGATGGCACCTGGCGATCTCCGAGGATTTCCGACGGGGGAAAGACCTGTATGTAAACAATACAGATATCTCTCTGTCAGGTCATGCACACTGCTTTGTATGGCTCTGCATATCAGAGCCATACAAAGCAGTGTAGTTACAGTGAAACACAGCCCACAGCCTCATAGTAAAACAGCACACAGTTAACCCTTTGATCACCCCACGTTAACCACTTCCTACATGCCATTACTACAGTGTCAGTGCTTTTTATTAGCACTGATTACTGTATTGGTGTCACTGGGGATGTCAGTGACACCAAGTCAGTTCCCCCCAGTGTCAGAATGCCGGCCGCAGTCCTGCTATAAGTCGCTGATCGCCGCCATTACTAGTAAAAAAAAAAATTAAATTCCAGATCTATACCACCATTTGTAAATGCTATAACTTTCACGTAACCCAATTAATTTACACATATTAGGATTTTTTTTTAGCAAAGACATGGAGCAGAATACATTCTGGTCTAAATTTATTATGAAATTTGAAGTTTTTTTTACTGGACATGTAAATTGTCAGTTTTTTTGTTTATAGCGCAAAAAATAAAAAACGCACAGGCAATCAAATTCCACCAAAAGAAAGCTCCATTTGTGGGGAAAAAAGGACGTAAATTTTATTTGGGTGCAGTGTTGCATGACCACGCAATTGTCACAGTAA